ATTTTCTAAAAATTTTTAAATTAATTTTTTTTGAAAAAAAACCAAAAACTCAATTCTCAAAAACTTTTTTAAAAGAAATTTTTGCACCCTCACAATTATGCAGCGTGTTTATAAGCTCGATACAAGCTAGGAGGTATGCAGAAAATTTTCAGCTAGATATATGAGAAAACTGAGAATTTAAAAAATATAAATAAGTGTATTTATAAACAGATTGATATGTAAGAAATAAGTTATTTTAAAAAGGTTAACATAAAAATAATTTAAGCGAAATATTCTTTAAAACCCCTACAATTGATACTTATCTACGCATGTATATTTATATTCAAAATGATTAAATCCAAAAATCCGCTGTACAACCCCAACATACCCAACTACATATTATATATATTATTGAACGCTGTGTAACTTTCTTCTCTGTACCCCCGTTTTAACCATATTATGTCAATTATGAAGAGTATATGAATTGAAATCAAAACTGTGTTTCCCTTGTAATTTTTTGTCAATTTTCTTTTCTTTTTTCCAGTTTCTCTGTGTGTAGTAGCCAACCAACTCCAATAAAAAATACTAAGAAATAAAAATATATAGTATATTCACCAAGCTAACTCAAACTATCCACATACCCATACAAAACCCACAAATCAAATATTGTATCGTACCCTACATGTGTTTGTGTATATGTGTGTTTTATATGTGAAATGCGATAGCATTAAACCCTTGTGCGCCAACTATAACTCCAACAACTATATAACAACAAAAAGAGCAGCAGCAAAAGAAACTGGCTGCCAACACAACAACAGCGACGGCTTGCCACAATAAAAGGTATACATTTTTAGCTAGTTGGAAACCCACAAATAAGCGCTTTTCAATTTGCTTTGCATTGGCTTTTTGAGTCGCTTGTCGTTTGTTTTGTTGCCACCGCAAGTTAAGTGAAATCAATCAGTCAAAATTAGTCCGCGTTGCCAACCGACATTGCTGTCGCTGTCGCCATCATCACCGTTGTCGCCGTTGTCATCGCCGACGCCCCAGCTATGCGCCATGTCAAAACTTCGGCATTACAGGTCCATAGATCAGCCCTGCGCCACGACCAACATACGCAAAAAGTTAGTCAGACTATTTAAAGTCAGTAAATTTCAAATCTTCAAAAATTTTAATTTAATTTTTTTTTCACTCTACATCAGTCGTTAAGCTTTCGCTAAGTTTCTAAACTTTACCATAAACTTTGTTCGAAAAAAGCTTTCTAAAGCACTGTTGCATATTTGCGAAAAAGCTTTTCAAGGCCTTTTATCTTTTTAATCTAACCTTTCAGAAATCTTTGCTATGCTTTTGCTTGCTGTACTCGTATATATATTTCCGCTCTTTGCTTGACTTCTTTCGTATACAGCCTATACTTAACACTGTATTATAGCGCTTCTGCCTTAAAATTCTAACACCTATAAATTATTATTTACTTTTTCAAATTAAATAGCTTTATATAACCTTTTTCTTTTTGAATTAAATTTGCTGCTATAAACGTATTTTCTTCAGAGCTTTTAATGATAACTAATACAATACTAACTATTCAAGTTTGCTATAAATTTCACTATATAAATTATATTTATGGTGCTAAAGAACTATAAAACGTTTGTTCTTGTAGTTCGCATCTTTACTTATTATTTTAGAAACATTTATATATGTCATACGGAGAAAAACCAAAAGTTTTGTGGTTGTGAACTTTGCTAAGAAGTTTTACTATCCAAGTTCCAAACCAAAAATGTAAATTAATGGACTTCTTAGACAAACTGAGTATACAATCATAGCAATGACAAAATGGTTCATAATTTTAAAGATTCCGCGCCTTTAGATAGGACTATTAACTCCAGTTGCTCCACTGAAGATAGTTATTGATAAAGAGTAAAAAGAAGTTATAGCACAACAAATTTTAGATACATATTTAGGGTCTCTGATAGATATTGAATACTACTGTTATATGAATATTTTAATCTAAATGGCTTGAGGAGTATTAAGTGTCTGAATTCAAACGCGGATTCATATTCCAACAAGTTTGGTTTCTAATGGGGGTATATTTTTTGACTTAAAGACCCCCGTAGAGGCCTAAAGTGCTTACAATTTCGGTTAGCAATTCAATAACGATTTATTTGATGGATCCGTAGAAGACTTTAGAGTTTTTTTAATGAAAAAATTTACAACATGTTCGAAGAGCAGATTAAATGTAGTTTTTTATAAAAGTTATATTCCCAGTCGAGACACAGAGCTTCGTCCAAACAAACGCAAAAATATTTATATCGAAACAAGTAGATATCATCAATTGGACAGTCGAGAGACAGAGCTTCGTCTTAACAAATACAAAAGTATAATATTTACAAACAAGAAGATAAAATCGATTAGACAGTCGAGAGACAGAGGTTATTACAGAGAAAATATCAGTCTAAAAGCTTTGCCATTCCCTATATGATTCGTTCCAGCAACTATCCAAGTATTATAGTTAACCTCACGAATTGCCTCAATCTTCTTACTATAAGCACAAGCTGTAGATCGCCTCGTTTTAAGCGCTTAGCAACATTTTCCAACTTCCAAAATTTTTATATAACTAGGTAGTATTTCAAAGTTTCACCTAAAATATTACTCTTGTTTAAAGTTTTCACAAAAAATACAAAAGAAGTCATATTTTGAAATTTTTCTATTTTTTTCGATAAATATTTTTCTGTATACTTATGATATTTATCACTTTTCAATCCAAAATATAATTTTTTGAATACTTTTTCTACTATTCAAATTTATCTTTAAAATTTTATATTTTTCTTCGAACTTACCATACTCATATAAAGCGCATGGGTTGCATTTCAAAATTTTATCCTAAAATAAAAAAGAAACAAAAGTTTTAGTAAAACAATTCACATTGTAGAACAAAAATGTTAAAAGTTTGCATGTTTTTGTCTTCCTGAATCTTTTGAAAGTAATACACTAATTTAGTATGTTCTTCGACTACTTTTGCTATTTTCTATGCAAATATATTTACACTCAAACAGACACGCTTTTACTAAGCACACTTCATTGAAATTATACAACTCTCGCTTGGTTATCTTTTTAGGACCATGACAGCGATATGCTTTGTCTGCAACCTGCCCATTTTGTCGCACCAAGTGGGCCTGGTGTGGCAGGGTGGCAATGGCTGGGACGATATGGTCAGAGAGCAGGTGAGTAATAGTAGACACCGTGCTAGAATACTTCCAATTTCTATTTAAATTTGCATACCACACGCACTTTCAGCTGGAGGAGTCTACCATACGACAGCGTTTGGGTGGTCGACGCGACTCTGCGGCACAGATAACCACGCCCCCTAGTACATCACCGCCACCAGGTGAGCTTATACGTCGCACAAGACTTTCAATACCTTAAATTTTTTTTAATTCTTACATTTTCCTCTACCCCGGCACAGGTCTACAGCGTCGTCGGCGCAGTTCACTTGCACAGCTCACCGATATCTTGCGCGAATGGAGCGGTGGTGGCGCTGCCAAGCAGCCAACACAAAGTCAACGCCAAAAGGCCCAACTCAATCGTCGCGAAACCTTAGCTGACCTAGCGCGCAGCCTACCATGGCGCACCTCCACCACCGATGCGTCGACTGGCCCCGGTGGCGGCACCACTTATATAACACCACGCAAACGTCGCGAGTCTAGCGCCGATTCGGGTATACGCAGCATGCGTTCACGTCGTGACTCGAACACGGCCGAGTTTGTGAAGCATTGGAATCGACGTGAGAGCACTGCCGCCGAGGAGCCCATTGTGGTGGTGCCGGTTGTCGTGGAGGGTCCCGGCCGTAGCGTAAGTGTTTGTATGCTGTGGGTTTTCTTTAAAGACTTTGCTCTTTTCCTCTACTTTCATGCTGACCTCTACACTCCATCCTAATATCGCACTTTCTCTTCCTCTTTCCTCCTAACTGACATTTCCCGCCCAACTACCATTTGTTGTGTGTGTGTGTTTACCTTGTGCAAACGCCTAATTGCAGAGCTCGCGTCGCGGCTCGGGTGAAAGTTATCTCTCGAGTCGACGCGACAGCAATATTGGCCGTGCCACTACTCCGCCTCTGCCACCCAAAATCGGTGGCATGACCGCCAAGAAGCGTGATTCGTTAGCTGCACCCGATTTTCCCAACTTCCGTCAAGAGCAACGTCCTTCAACTAGTTCAGCTGGCTCTGATTCAGTACCGTTAATATCTACTACCAACTACAATCAGGTCGATTCTGCTTGTCAAGCATTACCGCCACCAACAATCATTACCAGCTCAGTGACACCGCCGGCCACTAGTCCCACCGCACCGTTGAAGGGACGTCGCGACTCGACTACGCAGTGTGGACGCGTTAATCGTCGCGATTCTAAAGCCGGTATATCACCGGAACGTGCGCCACGCTTGCAACGTCTACAACGGCAAGCAACTGCTTTCGATGAGAGCTGCCTGCCTGGCGGCAGTCGACGTGGCTCACAGCCGGCGCTTAGCCCCGATCCGCCGGAGGATTGCCCGGGTGCGCGCACGTCGCGTCGTGATTCGCTTAGTCCGGACAGTGCATCTCGTGGCGGACGACGTGACTCACGCGCACATCTCTCACCCGATCGCAGTCACGATCGTGACGGCAGTCCACGGCGGCAGACGCTGCGACGACAGAGCTCGTCGGCTGCGCGCAGCTCACGTTCTCCCGATTCGAATAGCTGTTGCTCGTCGCGTGATCCAAGTCCTTGCTCGCGACCACCACCATTGGTGTCGGCGGAGACGAGCTCACGACCGGCAATTCGTAGACAATCGACCACTGAAGAAATTTTGATAGCACGTGGCTTTCGTCGACAATCGACTACAGAGGAAATGATACGTTGCAGAAACTTTCGACGTCAGAGCTCACAAAGCGACGATGTGTGCCGGTGGGTATCAGCAATGACCATAACTAATGTTGAGGTTTCACTGTATAAACTATTATATATTTTTTACAGTTATCGCGGTCGTCGCGATTCAAGCGCACAAATCATTGATGGCACCATCGGCACAATGACGGTGGAGACAACTAGTACTTTTTTCGATTCCAGCACCCAGACCGGTGAGTAGACGTTTAATATTTTTATTTGAAGAAAGCAAGTGTAAAACTTGGTGAGACCATACTCTGTGTAATTGGTCAATAAGGACATATTGTGGCTTATTTCTTAAGTGTGAGGATTTTGATAATGGGTAGTACAGAAAAGGTTCGGCCTCTCATAGTAGTAAATATACGAAAAATACGAAATGGTTTCCGGAAGCTCCCTTTGGTCTTTCGCGAAAACTAGCTGAGTTTCTTGACAAAAAGTTCATAAAACCTTTATGAATAACAATGGCATTTCTCAACAGTGGTCTGATTTTTTTAAGAGACAGAGTCAAGCTAAAATTTTCCTCAAACCTCTTAAGCAGCAGTCAAACATCTGCTTACTTTTCAGAACCGAGAAAAAAGTGGTGTTTTAGACTTCACAGGCGTCCAGGTTATTCGAGCTCTAGATCTTAAACGAAACCTCATAAAAACTAAAAAAGGCTGGTCTGACATTGCGATTATTAGAACCAGCCATCAGATGCTCACTACAAAAATTTTAGTAATCTATTAAGAGACAGAGAAAGGAAATTTTTTTTTTTAAATCTCGTGAGCTCGAATCGAATGTTCAGTAACTTTTTTTTACCATGAAGTCAATAAGTTTGAGGTTTTCAGTGGTATCTAAGTTTCTCCAGATATCAGAAAGTTCATCTCGTCTTTTTGGTTTTCAGGCCTTCAGTTCCAAAGTGCCATAGGTCAAGTAGAAGCAACGTTGCATTTGTTGAAAGACAATTCTTGGGACACTCATGCATGAACTTTCTGTTATGTACAGTACGGTGTATTCCTTCTGACTAGTCAAGACGTCTGTCCTTGACACCAAATGAATGAACGAGATGTAGCAGCCAGGCTTCTCTACCCTTAATTGTTTTTTTGGCAACTTTGTGCTTCTCCCCATCTTTCTCGGCTTCGCTCGATGAAGACATCTCCTGTTGTTCGCCATATAACTAAAACATTTAAGTTAAAATAACAAGTGTCCTTGCAACACTGTTGCACAATCAATTAAAAAGCACAAGGAGTAAGGGTGAGAAAGAGAGAAAGCCAACAAACAAAAAAAAAACATGCACAAAGTTGCATTTCATACAAAGGTAATAAAACTGTTGCAAGCTTCAAAGTGCAATATGCATAACTTTTCCGTTTTTTCATTGCTCCCCTCCGCTCAATACTCGCTCACATCTGCCACGTGCCACATGCTGTACCGATTATTTGTGCATTCGCTATTGCCAGTGGTTGAGGGTATTAAATAAAGTGCGCTGCTCATTCGATGGGTATTTATTGCATGCAATGAGCATTGCAGATGATAATGTACGCTTCAACAGCAATGAGTGTCAATGTTAATTGCTCTGTTACTAAGTGGTAAACTGTTAATTAACGCCTCGCTTGTTTGTTTATTGTAGCAGCAATAAAGGCGCGTGTTGCAGATATATTACCAGTTGCATGAGTGTTCGAGAAAATCTTATAGGTGCGTTTGTAAGTGAAAATTGCTGCATAACTGTTGTTTGCTTTGTAAAGTGTGCATGCCACATAAGAGTTTTTCAAGAGCTTTACACGCAATATGTGGGTCATTATGTTTCGCGGCAGATTTATTGTAATGAATGTAATGAAAAAGCTTGGCAATAAGAACAAGAAAAATTTCAAATTCAGCTGCACCGAAGCTATAACACACTTCACAATAAACAAAGAATCCTAGATGTTTAGTACAAGTTCGCGCTTTTGTTCAATCGGTTTATATCCCAGCTGTATGCTATAGTGGTCTGATCTGAACAATTTCTTTGGCGATTGTACTGCTGCCTTGGACAACGATCTATACCGAATTTCATGAAGATATTTTGATTAATAAAGAAGTTTTCCATACAAGGATTTGATTTGTATGGATCACTTTGTATGGCAACTATATGCTATAGTAGTCCGATCTGAACAATTTCTTTGGCGATAGTACTGCCGCCTTGGACAATAATCTATACCAAATTGCATGAAGATATTTTGATTAATAAACAAGTTTTCCATACAAAAACTATATATTTGTGGATCACTTTGTATGGTAGCAACATCCTAAAGCCGGCCGATATGGTAGCAATGACATTGAGAAATTGTACACGTACAGAAGATTTCATTTTCTTAATCAATTAATTTAATACCAACAGTGCACAATTTGATTGTGAGAACACCATTTTTGGTAACCGATCTATCAGTTATCAGATCAATGATGATAAGCATATCTAATAATCTTAATAATTAATTTTTGATCACGCGTAGTAGTTATACAGATCCGTCAATTCAAATATTTTTTAGCCCAGAATCACTAAAAAGATCACCTCACATAACTACTCCTATTCTACTTCTGTTGTGAGAACATCATTTTTGGCAACCGATCTATCTGGTATCATGTCAAAGCTGATAAGCATCTCTTAATAATTGATTTTTGATCACGCGAAGCAATTATGCAGATTCGTCAGCTCTTAGATTTAGTCCAGAATCACTACAAAAATCACCTCACATTACTATGTATAATATTCTAATGCTACTCTCGCCCCTTGAAGATTGTATAAAGTTTGCCACATTACTACACAATCATTCTCTAGACCAGCATTTATATTAAAAATTGTTTGTCTTTCCTGTCTTGTGAGTAAAATCGCTTCTGAGCCAAACCATGTGCCAGCAAACGGCACAAATAATAATCGGACAATTCAGTGTCTGAGGAATAAAGCGGATAGGGTAGACCTTTCCTTTGGCAACGTGACACTGAGCGTTGTCATGCAGCAGAAAAAATTTTTTAGGCCTCTCCTAGTATTGAGGTCATAAGGAACCCAAGTTCCTTTTTTCTGAATCATTTCCAGTGCATGTAGTCGTTTTGAAATGGCTTAGTGAGTGACTCCCAATGCTGAAACAAGATCTTCTTCGTTTGATTGAACGTTTTTGGCCTTCCTTAGTATGATTGATTGAGAACCATTTTTACTTTAGTAATCATCGGATAATTTGTAATCCCTCTCTAAATCCGCTTTTTGATGGTCCGTTTAAGAAGATCTGCACTTAATATCAATAAATATTTTTAAGACTTTACTTTGATAAATTAAAAATTAAGAAAACAAAGAAAACTGTAATTTGCTCCATACTTTCATATACAGCTTTATATTTTTATGGCTGAGAGTACAGTTACTACTATTTGTGAAGCTTTCAAGCTTTTCAAGTTTTCAGCTTTTCAAAGCTTTTTTAACAGCTTTCACAGTGACATCTATGCTCAGAAACACACAGGAAAACTTATTTTCCTCGATGAAAACCACAATAAGCTGTCAGCAATTGCAGTTTGGTCTTTGACCCGCTAAGCTTTGACTCTTTTACACCTGAACAACACTTTTTTGGCTCTCGGTTTACAAGTTACTACAGGTGTTGTCAAGATGGCAGGATAGATATTGTTGTATAAGCGTGTGCTTTTTGGTTGCATGGGGTTTATGGGGGGCATATGACAGCAGCAGCTGATGTTTGCGGGCAGGAGCGAGTACAAGTGCGGCGCTCAAATATTTGATATGAGAAAATTGAGAGCACCAAGCACAATGGAATACGCTCTCTGCAAGTGTGAGAACGGTGAGCGTGCTACTGTGACAGTTAGGAGGCTCGCCACTGACATTTAACTGTCGAGAGGATATTAGCGCATTTGACATTTGGCCACAAATACAGCGCCAAATGATTTTGACATTTGTGGAGAAAGTTGTCGTGCGCGCTCTTGCTATGTTGACAGTTGAGCGCGCAGACGATGACAAGTGAAAGCGTGTAGGCGTCGACTACAAATGTATTGTTGGTTGGTGTTCGCTGCGCTGCGTTTAGGCACATGTGTTAGTGCAGCGTACACGTACACGCATTTGATTACAAGTGTGCGCGTGTCCTTCTCAAGCGCTTCAAGCATAAATTGTTGTTGCCTTTTGGCTTTCTATTGTGGTTGACGCTGACGCTGTTGTTGCCTGCGCTGCTGCAAGCGCCAGTGCTGCTGATTTTCAACTCTGCTGTCAGCGCGCTGGTTGCTCTTGGCACCATTAACACACTTTCCTGCAACAGCGCAAGGATTCGGAATTTTAGTTTATGTTGAAACGCGAACGCGACGCGTCGGTGGCGCAAACAACGGTAGAAAGTGAAAACTCTAAGCCAAGCAGTTGAGTTTCTGACACAGAGTTTGCAAGAAATTGTAGAAATTTGTATTAAAAAAAAATGTTTAAATCAACATTTACAGTGAAACGTGCAACGAATTGTTATTGAATACTTGCAACAACGAGCGCGTTCACGGTAGGCGCTACATATGGGCGCCAAAAGAAATGGCGAGCACGCCTTAAAGTATACAACACTTCGCTTGCTCTTAGCCAAAGTTTATTAAGTGCGATTTGTGTTTTTATTGTTCTCGCCACTTATTGTTGCAAGGTGTGCGCTGGCACCTGTGACGTCCATGCAGAGCAGCAGTAGCAGCAACAGCGCTGCCGCTAACGACATGCTGCCGCAAGCAGCTGAAAAGTGCGAAAAATCATTGTGCACGCCTGAAAGTATGCAGCGCACAGGTAATACACATAAGCATGAGCATAAAAGTGTAAGCGACGGTTATTGCAAAATATTTTGTGCATAAAATTGCGTAAATAGTGCAAAAAAAAATTTAGAGAAATAGCGGCGCAGCAAAAGGTTTTGACGACAGTGTGTGTATTGGTGAATGGCAATATTTGTATACAGCTGCCAATGGCGTTGTAGTTTGCATTTTGAACAAAAAATACAAACTAAATGTAAAAACGACAAAAACTGTAGTCTATCTTCAGGCCCAACACGCCCACGCGTTCTCTTTTGGCATAAAACAGACTTGTAAATAGTTACAAAAAAGACAGTGATAGCCTAAAATATTAATTAAGCGTGCAAAAATGTATGTGCAACAAAAAACAGCAAAAGCGCTCAAAAAATTAGTTTTTAAATGCGAAATAGCTGAGAGTGAAGTTGTCTTAAATGCAAAACCTATA